TTTCTCGCGGGGGAGAAAAGGTGTGTGTGTGTGTGTGTGTGTGTGTGTGTGTGTGTGTGTGTGTGTGTGTGTGTGTGTGTGTGTGTGTGTGTGTGTGTGTGTGGAATCCTACAGTTTCCAAAGTGCAGAGGGAATATTATTTAAAAGTTTTCTGTTTCAGGTACGGTACTGTATGTTCATCGAGTAACACTGTTTATTGATGCTTCTTATAGGCAAACTCGTGCTATGCCACGAAGTCTGGTTTAAACTATTAGAGCTCTCTGCTGATAAGCAGATAAGCAGATGTATGTGCATGAGGAAATATCATAATTGTTTAAATAAATAAATAAATAACACAGTGCATGAGAACAGTTCCAGTATCTCTCTTGATTTGAGCTCCATCAGATCAGGCATGTTACAGGAGCATTCAGTTGCCTGTCAGGGACTATTTTTTCTGGCGGAAGGACGGCATTTAATGATTTAACTTTAAAAAGTAATATATAATACATATATTTTGCCTTTACTCAAGTAAAAGTAAAATTGTGGCCTTAAAGTATAACCTAGCTAATTCATGTAATTTGTGAGATAAGCAGATGTATGTGCATGAGGAAATATCATAATTGTTTAAATAAATAAATAACACAGTGCATGAGAACAGTTCCAGTATCTCTCTTGATTTGAGCTCCATCAGATCAGGCATGTTACAGGAGCATTCAGTTGCCTGTCAGGGACTATTTTTTCTGGCGGAAGGACGGCATTTAATGATTTAACTTTAAAAAGTAATATATAATACATATATTTTGCCTTTACTCAAGTAAAAGTAAAATTGTGGCCTTAAAGTATAACCTAGCTAATTCATGTAATTTGTCACTTTATACCCCTTATCAATGCATATGTCTCTGAGCTTAAATCTTTGTTACATGGATCTGTTTCTAACCTTCTTATCACTCGAATCCTTCTTGCCACTATCAGCAGCAATGCTGGCGAAGTACTGAATGACTCTCACAGTCTTTCCAGCACCAGATTCTCCACTGTCAACACAAACCAAAGTTAGAAATTCATGAAGAACTCATTTGTAAAAATTAACAAATAAAGTCCAGATCTAACTAAAACTCTAGTCTTACTAAAACTAAAAACTAAAATCTTACGTGATAAGAATGAACTGGTTTTCTCTGTCTGTAAAAAAAAATCTAATTCTAAATATGAATGTAATGTGCATAGTAAATGAATATTAAATTATTTTCACTAGTTATTGACTTCTAGCCTGTGCTGTTGTTATAAAGGCAGGTTGTATATAAAATATGTAGAGAAATGTTACGTTGACGCACCTGACAGCATGTACTGGTAGGCGTTGTCAGAGATGGAGAAGATGTGAGGAGGAGCTTCAGTCCTCTTCTTTCCTCTGTAGGCAACGACGACTTCCTGGTTGTACACTGGCAGCCCCTTGAGGGGGTGACAAGTGACACAGAAGAGCCCAGAGTAGGTCTGTAAGAGATTCACAGCAGCTTCAGATCTGCTCACACGTGATAAAGTGAAAGTGTGAGTGTTTTAAGACTCACGTAGGCACTTTGTGTCTTTATTTGAAATCTTGAACTTGCCGCTCCCTTTGAAGTCTCACAGGTGACTTTATCACCATCTCGACCAATAACAGATGCTTTAAGATACTCCTCTGCAGCATCAGGAACAAAACATTCTTTCTTCATGCCAAAGGGGCGAGTTTGGGCCTCCAGACGCTCTATGTCCGACTTCCTGAGAAATGGAGCAGCAGGTCCAAACTCTGCCATCGCGGCATCCCCCATCTTTCACCCTGCACACAAGTGCGCATACACAGATTACTATAAGAGATATTATATATAGGAGCCTATTTGGACACATGTTGATAGTTAATGCTATTCTGAACACCTGTGTGAAGAGAGAGCTGACTGCTACATCCACTAAAAATCACCGAAACACCAGCTGATTCAAACACGCTTAGCAAAGATGAGTGAAGAGAAAAGATCCTGCAGCATTTGTGATACACAGATACAGATACTACATCTATTGCAACATTCAGACATGTATAAATGTGTCACAATAATGTGGGACCACTGTATATGGCAATGTGTGGTAGTAACCTCTGAGATTAGTCTGTTGCAGTCAGTGATGTTGCATTGAGTTTTTTCAGGGTCACTTACCTTTGTACTTAACCTCTCCAGACACTGATGGTTTACTGTCCTAGGGACACACAAACAACATGTATAAAGCAGAATTACTTAACATCAAACATTTGTCTCCTGTCTGCTACTTTATAGTCAATAATGAACAAAAGTGCATACTGAACACTGTGCCTGAAGGAATTGTTAATAAGACCAGGCTTTCATGCCTTGATGGCTTACCGTTTGATGATACAATAGAAAACCTGTCTGAAGCCATTGACTCTCCACCCCTTTTTATAATGTTAGAGGTCCTCTAAATATGGTTGCAGGAATTTTCTGAAGCATGTTAGTGTCTTAGTTTGGTTAGGATACGAATGGGCTGGGTGTCTGCTGGAGGCAGGGGCACGTTTTTGTTTTTTTGTGTAGGGTGTGATTTATGCCAGTAAGGAACAGTATACTTTGTCATTTAATGTACGTTCATTTGACTAATTTACCCTTTAAATGACATTCTTAAATGCAATGTCTTATCTGTTAAATAGGTTTCTTGTAAGGTAAGTGAATTCAGAAGAAGATTTTGGCTGCTGGCACAAATGTTTCTGCTCACTGCAAAATAAATGATTTTCTTACTTAGGATTTCTGTCTTGTTTTCCATTACAAACATCTAAACATTCTTAAATCAAGATGCATTTGCTTGAGACGCATAATGAAATAAGATATTAGGTTGAGTTTTTGCTTAAAATGAGAAAAAAATATCTGCCAATGGGGCAAGAGAAAAAAATATTGTTTTCCCTTTGAATTAAGTTTTTTTTTTTTACCCCACTGGCAGACATTTTTTTTTTGTTTCAAGGAAAAATGTTCATATAATTTTTCAGAAAACACACTGTCAATTAGCTTCTCAAGTAAATGTATCTTGATTCAAGAATGTTTAGATATTTACGCTTGGAAAACAAGACAAAAATACTAAGAAAATCATTTTTGCAGTGATGTATTTTACAATTGCACCTATGAACTAGTCGCTAATGTGAATTTTTTGGATTAAAATGTCTGCTAAACTAAAAAAAGAGAATGGTTTTTACATCAGTTGGCAGGTGTTTGCTCAAAAAAGAATGCATCTCATTGTTTGTATCAACTGATCTGTACCTTGCTCAAGGACAAGCCAAGTGTTATTTCACTCTGTCCATCACAGATGCTTTTTATCCGCTCGAGCAGCCGCAGCTGAGTCCGTAACGGCAAGGTCAGTTTCCAGCTGGTGCAGTCGCTTCACTCAGGCCTCATCGCTGACACGCCATTGTTCCTTTGCCTTCACACTTGAGGACAAAGATAACCTGTGAAATTCTTGTTGGGTGCTTCTAATTGATTGAGAAGAACAGCTTGCGTGATCTCTGCTACTAGCATGTCTACATAAATGGACGCAGCAGGCCGAACATCAGGCCGATGTAAATTAATGTATACACAACATCTTCTCAATGACAGGAGCAGTGTCTAATTTGTCCAGTCTGGCAGACGATTTTTAGCTTTTTTGATATCAGCAGGAGTTACTAGAACATAAGTCATTCAACTAGACACCATCAATCAACCATACAGGTGCATTATTTTCACACTGAATTTTTTGGGCGTCCAGTTGCACAGTGTTGACCGCTGAGTTCAGATATGCAGATATGCCTCTGCATAAAGTGCATCTTCAGTCAAATTTCACTACACAGCATCCAACACCAAACATCTCTGTTCACTCCTAATTGCTTAAATGGATAGTTCAACCAAAAATAAAACTTAAAACCACTTATCCTCATTTCGTTCCAATCTGTATACATTTCGTCCCTCTGTGGAAAATAAAAGAACGTATTTAGAAGAACAGCACTGGATCCCATTGACCTTCACTGTATGGACAAAAACACAGGGACGTTTTTAAAATACATTTAAAGTGAAAAAAGGAAATCATTTAAGTTTGAAACTTAAGAGGGTGAGAATTATCATTTTTAGTGAACAATCTACTGAATTTGAGATACCGATATTCTAATGCCGTCACTTCATGCTAATTGTGTTATTTTCATTTTCATATTTTTAACCTAAAACTACTGAACTCTATCATCAGCTCTTTGAAGACATGTATACAACAGCTACGTGCACTACGCACCATCAACTTTCGTTGTTTGCACTGAAACATATGGAGGTCTGTGGCAGACTGTCAGTCATCCTCTTACCACTGTCTTGTTTGTTCCACATTGTTTCCTTCCCATTGTCCTTGAGTACAAAGATAACCCTGTGAAATTCCTACTGAGCCTCTGACGAAATGGGAGCAACTGCTCCCACACATAAAGCAGATGCCCCGTTTGCAAAGGTCTCCAAGCGCATAAATAAACGTCAAGGGGTACATGTTGGCACCCTTGCAAGCCATATACATACTACTTAAGTTACATGGCCAACTGAGGCAAAACGATGCCGGTCACAAGACAAGTGTTTATTATTAACCAACAAGCATCATTGTATTGAGTTAAAGTTGAAAGACAGAAACAGAAGAAGTATTCATTGTTTGTTTTCTTGGCATAACCATTTGTTCAGTTTGCATAGTGCAAGATTGGTAACAATTGATTTTACATTCGTGTTTCGCATGTACATACTATGTACTTGTTATCGTAATTACAATAACTTGGGGTAGGTTCAGGGTTACCATGTAGATAGCTTACATTATGCAGTACTTACTTAGGTAAGTACACTGTAAGTAAAGGTCATTGCATGTACTGTAAAATAAAGTGCAACCAAAAAATGATCAATTCATATAAAATACGATGTTCATCTGTTATTCTCGTTACTGGATGTCTGAAGGGGTCAACTGGCTGTTAAGACCCTTTGTTAACCAAAAGGATGAGAGGTGAAAGTTTAAGATGCTGCTAGATGTCTTTTAAATCACAAGGGTCTTCTCACAGTCTTGTGAGATGTCAAGCCAGCAGTTATTATCTCCTGACTTACGGCAATATGTCTCACGTACATTCTGCTGTGGTTTAAGGTTGCAGGATGGTTGGTTCCTCTGTGAACCTTTGAGGAGCTCCTCCCTATATTCAGACTCCACCTCCAGCACTGTTCCTCACCTTCAACACTAAGGTTTACCCGCGTCCCCTGTTCATACAGCGTTCAGCCTGGCAAGCACCGGCTCTTCATCAAAGATCCACTGTTTAATTTAGAAGTTTTCAATTGGATTTGTTGAATATATTAATCGTTTGATTTGTTTTGCAGGTCTCAAGCCGTATGCACTCGACAGAAAGGAGGACACTTGATGCAGGTGAGACAGATGAAATAAAGAAATTCTGTAGTATTATCATTAAAAACATTTTAGTTATTTTTTTTTATCTTGAACATTTACTGTAGATGTTTTGAGCATTATCTCTTTAATCACTTTTCAGTGTGGAAGACGTTTAGAGGACATCAGAGATGCACCCTTCATATTTGGTAGACACCATGACTGCAACGATCTACCAAAGAAAGTCTTGGGTTTCATTCATGCAAGAAATAATAAATAATGTGGTAGGTGCTTTCTTCATTCTAGAAGAAAATATAGCAAATGTTAAACTGTATTCTGTAAGACAATATACATATATTATCAGTTGGGTAAAGCGGCATTTGTCATAAATTATGCAAGCACAGGGTTTCTACGCAGTTTGGAAAAGTATGGAATTTGATCTGAGTAATTTCCAGGTCTGGAAACGTATGGAAAAAAGAAAGCAGTGTATAGAAAAAAATGTGCATTTCCAGACTTTTTGCCCCTATTTAGTTTTCTATAATAGAAATTAAATGGATAGTTCACCTTCAGTTGCTGGTCCCCATTAACTTGTATAGTGTGTTTTTTTCCATACTATAGACGTCAATGGGGACCAGCAACTTAAAGTGAACTCAAACACATGAATTCAAGGTGCACTTTTTCATTCATCAAAAATGCAGGTTATAAGCGTTTTGGGTTTCTTCTCACGATATACTTTGCACCATATTACAAAGCCTCTAAAAGGATCTTTGCAAAAATAAAAAATATGCAGATTTATTGTGCCACAGAGTATGTGTTAAAGCAGACTTAAAGGGATAGTTCACCCAAAAATGAAAACCCCCTGGGCATCCAAGATTTCCAAGTTTCTTCAGTAGAACACAAACGGAGATTTTTAACTCAAACCATTGCAGTCTGTCAGTCCTATAATGTCAGTGGATGGGAATCACGGCTTTGAGAGTCATAAAACATACACAAACAAAACCAAATTAAACCCTGCGGCTCGTGACGATGCATTGATGTGTAAAGACACAAAACGATCGGTCTGTGCAAGAAACTGGACAGTATTTATATAGTTTTTTACCTCTGATTTTCACCGTCTTCTTCTTCAGCCTGCGCGTGAGGCGTCTTCTTCTTCTTTTGGAGTTTTATGGCGGTTGGCAAACAAACGATAGGTGCATTCCCGCCACCTACTGGGCTGGAGTGTGGACCATTGATGGTATAGGAAGAACTGAATAAAAATTAAATCCTTCTTAATCCTGTTAAACAGTCTTCTTCTTCTTGCTTTATGGCGGATCGCAGACTTATAAGTGCGTTACCGCCACCTATCTCTCAAATGGACCATTGACACTCTATCTACAATCTCGATTAGGAGTGTCAATGGTCCATTTGAGAGATAGGTAGCGGTAATGCACTTATAAGTCTGCGATTCGCCGTAAAGCAAGAAGAAGAAGACACCTCACACGCAGGCTGAAGAAGATATAAATACTGTTCAGTTTCTTGCACAGACTGATCGTTTTGTGTCTTTTCACATCAATGTATCATCATGAGCCGCAGGGTTTAATTTGGTTTTGTTTGCGTATGTATTTTTTTACTCTTAAAGCCGTGATTCCCATTCACTTCCATTATATGACTGACAGACTGCAACGGTTTGAGTTAAAAATCTCTGTTTGTGTTCTACTGAAGAAACAAAGTCACCTACATCTTGGATGCCCTGGGGGTAAGCAGATAAATATCACATTTTCATTTTTGGGTGAACTATCCCTTTAAGGCCTTGAAACATGACGTACAGCCCTAAAGAAAGCCTAATTTTGAACATGTTTCTACAGTACCAGTCTCTTTTATAGAACCTTGAGCTTGGCAAATAGGACAATGCACACAGCTGTATTGTGCCATCAGCCCATTTCGTGTCATTGTTTCTCCTCTGCCACAGAGGATGCATTAAATTGGACATTAGGACGTATATTCGAGCCGAGGTACTATCCTAACTATTTTTTCACTCATTTTCTTCATAGTAAGATGGCAGTGACGCACAAAGGAAATAGGTTATAGTATATATAAAACTAGACATTGTAATGCGTAAGCACACAATAAAAAAATCCCATGCACATGTCAATAGTTTCTCAAAGGCACAAAAAAAGTTTCTTGTGTGTGTGCAAAAGTCTGTTTTTAGGGGCTCTATATGTTGTCACTTCTAGAAAATAAATAAATAAACCCCTGAGAAAATACAAATATTTGTATACATACAGATGTACTATATACCAAATATAAATTTGAAAAATAAATATGTTAAATATGGTCTGGAAATCTACTGAGAGGTTTGGAAATTTGAGTCTGGAAAAGTGTGTGATTTTAAGATGGAAAATGTGTAGGAACCCTGCTAGCAACTTTTCTAATCAATATGAAACGCATGACATTTTACTTATAAAAGCTTATAAGTTTTACCACCATAATGAGTTAGAAATTAACTTCAGTAAATTCATCATATGCAATGAATTGGAAAAGTAGTGCAAATTTCATGCACTGCAAACATTCAGTTTCTTAATTGGTACAATTTTAAATAGGAATTTCAGGGAAAAAAGATGATCAAAGTGTATATAAATTATATTTACATGTATATAATGTTATTTAGATTGGAGCGATGGCCAATTTTTCAGATTTACTAAGTTACTGTATTGTTGGTTGCTAGCATTTCTACATTATTGCAGTATTTAACATGCTCCAGGAGGTTGAGCATGTGAATTGATCTGTCTGTATTCCCATTGGTAATCACTACAGCACTCTCATTGTATTTTTTCATAAAGTTGAACTTAGAGTTGACCACCAATAATCTCTGGTGTTTATGGTGCATCGAATTGCATATTCCCAATTAAAATGCATCTGGTCATTTGGAAAATTTGCAAAGATAAACTCATTTAGATCAAAATTTATTTAGAATAATTGAGCAAATGAATGACTAATGCAAAACCAATAAATGTAAATATATACACAAATATGTGGTTTACTCTAGGAAGCCTGTACGTTCCTATTAATAGGAAAGTGCCTACCAAATAACTCTAAATCATTGTTTTGAAATATGACAGACCACAACAAAAAAAGTTTCATCTGCACACTTTATTATAAAGAACTACAGGTAATGAAGTCAAGAAGCACGGAGTCAAACCAAACAAGCCTTTCAGAAAGATGCAAGTGAGAGCTTCATTCTTCATCGTGCCCTTTCTGTGAGAGGGAGAGAGAAGAGAAAGAAAAGAGTTTGGAAGGTATATATGTTATTTGTTTTAGTTTTTCCAATAAATCAAATCTTAGTCTCACTTTGACGCTACACGCAAGGAGACTCATAAAAGACAAAAAAAGCTTTAGGTCTGAAAAGTCTAGAAACTCATATTTACAAAATTTCTCTTACTTTGAATGGTGAAAAGGTTAAACATTGTTCATTGCTCCACTGAATCTTATGGTCTAAGATAGTAAGCACACCAAATATTGCGTAAAACTGAGATAACTTACCTTAGATCCTGTGTCCCGACTCTTAGCTCTCAGCTTGTTGACCTGAGATTCAGCAATATCAGCCCTCTCCTCTGCCTCATCCAGCTCATGCTGCATCTTACGGAACTTGGCCAGATTAGAATTAGCCTGTTCCTCCTGATTAAAACAAAAGGTTGTTGGCAAAGACAATGTACAGAACAGTGTATATATACAGTAAAGAGATGACGAAATGAACTCACCGCCTCCTCAGCAGCTCTCTTGTAGGACTTGACTTTCAGCTGGAGTTTGTCCACCAGGTCTTGAAGGCGAGCCAGATTCTTGCGGTCTTCCTCAGTCTGTTAATAGACTTTTGATTATTTTTGGTCTGGGTGGTTTGAGGATAGAGAAATCGTATTGAATATTGAAAGTGACCTGGTAGGTGAGCTCCTTGATGCGCCTCTCATATTTACGAACTCCTTTCACAGATTCGCTCGCCTTTCTCTGTTCTATCTCCACCTCATTTTCCAGCTCTCTCACCTACCCAAATGAAAATGTATACATTTTTTAGAAATCTATTGATCTCTGAACCAAAATTCTCATAAATAATATTCATCTTCACGAAAGTAAGGCATTTTGAAAATAAAATAAAAAACAATTAAGAACTGAGTTTCAGAAACTAACCCTGGCTTCCAGTTTCTGGACCTGCTTCTTGCCTCCCTTCATGGCGATCTGCTCAGCTTCATCCAGACGGTGCTGCAGGTCCTTGATGGTTTGCTCCATGTTCTTCTTCATGCGCTCCAGATGAGCGCTGGTGTCCTGCTCCTTCTTCAGCTCCTCTGCCATCATGGCAGCATCAGTGATAGCCTTCTTGGCTTTTTCCTCAGCATTCCTGCACTCCTGCACTGCCTCCTCAACCTCAGTCTGAAGCTGAGAATTATCTCCCTCCAGCTTCTTCTTCTGATTCAGCAGACTGGTGTTCTAAACATAGACAATATTGACATTCATATAGTTTCTAGATGATATTGTGAGGGTTGTTACTTGTGTTTGTCTAGTACAGAGGTGTCATACCTGAGAATGCAGGAGCTGGACTCTCTCGCTGACGTCCAGCAGCTCCTGCTCAGCCAGTTTCCTTCCTCTCTCAGTCTGTTCCACCAGGGATCTCAGCTCGTCCAGTTCAGCCTGCAGCAGATTGTTGCGTCTCTCCACAATGGCGATGTTCTCTTTGAGATCATCATTACTGCGCAGAGCGTCATCCAGCTGCAGTTGGACATCCTGGAAAAAAACAAGTTTTACAAACGAAAATACTGTAGAATTTTGTTAAATTTTGACTTTTTTTTAAACTAACATTTTGGTTTAAAACATAATCTAGCATACTTTGAGATGTCCATGAAGACCCTTGAGTTGCTTCTGGGCTTCTGAAGCCTGTCTGTTAGCCTGGCTGAGCTGAATCTCCATCTCATTGAGGTCTCCCTCCATCTTCTTCTTCAGTCTGAGAGCTTCATTCCTGCTGCGAGTCTCTGATTCCAGTGAGCTCTGCAGGGTATCAATCATTCTCTGCTGGTTCCTCTTGGTCTGCTCCATCTCTTCATCTTTCTCAGCCAGCTTACGTTCAATGTCAGCTTTGATCTGGCTGAACTCCAGTTGAGCTCTAAGAATCTTTCCTTCTTCATGCTCCAGGGAGCCCTGACAGATCAAAGGACTTAGCCTTTAAAAAGTACTAATAAGTTTGATTTGTTTATTCTTTTCAAGAAGTTCTAGTGCAGTGGTCGCCAACCCGTTGATTGCGATCGACTGGTTGAGCTCACAAAAATAACAGAAAAATACATTACATTTCTCCAGTCTGTGTAGTGTATTTTTAATTATACTTATTTTTCTATTATTTTCGGGAGCTACTGGGACAGTGATAAAGAAAAATACATCATGCCTGAGTCCGTAAACAGGATGTTAACAGAGGCCAGACACGCTGAAGACGGACGCAAAGAGGAGAAAATACTGTAGCAGGCAGAGCAAACTCGCTGCTCAAAATACAGGAAGAAAATATCAATATTGAATTGGGGGTGAGTGGTTATATGAATATATCACTGAAAGGAGCTGACTGTCTTCAGAAAAGTTTTGATTGCAAATGCAATTGCATTTTCTTCTCCTCTTACCTCCGTATAAAGTAGTACTTAAAAGCACAATGCTGCTTTGTTTACAGTGGCAACCAAGTAAACACTGTATCGCTGCTGTTACATAAGCGCCACCTGCTGTCAGAGAGTGAATTTGCATCCGTCTGCTGTTTCTGTTTCATGCAGATATGTTTTATGTTGCATAATTTCACAAAGATAAAGTCAGATCGTTCTGTTTGTGCTTTAAATTGTGAAATTATACAATCTAATTAAAATCAAAGCAACTGCTTGTGTGACGTGTGTAGCATCTTTGTTGGATCATGATTAAAATGCAGTGGTTGCCTCTAATTTCAAATGGCTACAGATAATTTTGTTTAAGGCCAGTTTGTTTGTTATAGAGCAAATAAACAATAAATAAATTTGCTTTAAAAAAAATCGACCAATTTGCTGGTTAAAAAAAAAACATCATGAAACATCATGATCGGTGCATCACTAATTAAAATACTAAATAAAAGGCTTCAAATTGGAAGGACAATCTGGGCTGTCTTTTTCTATCAGTTCTTTAATAGGTAGATCTTGTCTTTCATAAAGGCTGAGGTCAGGGATATTGGGCTTAAAAGGTTGGTGACCACTATTCTAGTGTATAACTGGAAAAACTAGACCTGCAACATCTACACATAACACAATTTACCTCAGCTTCCTCCAGAGCTGCTTGAATTTCAGCTTTTTCCTGCTCCAACTGCTTACGAATTTTCTCTAGTTCATGAATGTTCTTTCCACTCTCACCAATTTGTTCAGTGAGATCAGAAATCTCCTCTGTTGTTAGGGAAGGTAATATAGGTTAATGCATAAAAAGCAAAGAGAAATATTTACATTTCATGATATGTGAATTCTTAGATGACTAATAAACAAAGGGCACCTTGGAGGTTCTTGTTTTCTCTCTTCATGGTCTCCAAATGATCCAGAGACTCCTCATAAGAGTTCTTCAGTTTGAATAGTTCAGTGCTCAGAGATCTGGCTTCCTTCTGGGAGCTTTCCAGCTCACTCTGAGACTCCTCATATTTCTGCTTCCATTCGGCTAGGACCTGTTTGAAAGTTTCAGAGACTTTGAGTAACTGCTGTTGGAGCTCAGCGTAAAACAATGAAAGGTTATTTCTTTAACAGTATGTTTATTCACCTTGTCAAAGTTTCTTTGCTTCTTGTCCAGAGCAGCAGCAGCAGCATTGGATATCTCCACATCTACCATGAGATCTTCAATATCATTATGACGCCTGTGCTTGGTCTTCTCCAGTGAGGAACATTTAGCATTGACTGCTTCCACAGCTTCTTCTGCATCTTGCAGACGCTGGGCAAGTTTCTTCCTTCATGAATAACAGAATCAGTCAGATGTTTGTATTGTATGCTACATGGAAAACGCAAGTATTTCTTGTTCATACTTAGCATCCTCCAGCTCCTCAGTCCTCTGGATGGCATCAGTTTCATACTTGGTTCTCCACTGAGCCACTTCAGAGTTTGCCTTGGACAGACTACGCTGCAACTCAGCTTTGGCTTCTTGTTCCTCCTCATACTGTTCCCTCAGTAGATCAGCATCATGACGAGCAGACTGAACTGCATGAGCCAGGGCATTCTTAGCCTGAAAGATATTTAAAATGAATGTTTTCTGCTATGGAGAATGGCCCATAGCTGTAGCATAAGACTAGTCTCTTTGAGGGGTGTGGGTTTGAATCCTGCTGCTCCTGGAAGAGCTTATTGGGTGACAAGGCAGTGCAGTAATTAAGGTGAATGACTTTGTGGGTAGTAGTAGTTGCAATACCTTGACTTCCTCCTCTAGTTGTCGTTTGAGGTCCTCAATCTGCTGGGTGTAGGACTGCTTGCCTCTTGTTAGCTGAGAGACCAAGGAATCCTTCTCTTCAAGCTGTCTAGAAAGCTCCCCTAGATAGAATTATAACCATTACATTACAGAAAGTAGTGTGTGATCTTAGAAAATGTGTTAAAAAAGTAATAGCCTATCAGAGTACATACCATTTTCGGTTTGCAACCTAGCTTTTTGCATGGTAAAGTTATTGATGCTGCGTTGTCCTTCTTCGTATTTTGTTCTATATTCTGACATCTGGTCCTCGAGGGTCCTGCACATTTTCTCCAAGTTTGCCTGGATACATATTATATAAATGAATATTAAATACAGAAGAAAGAGCACATGATTCTAAAGAACAGCTGAAGTGAAGACAAGTAAAAATGCTAATGTGGAAACAAGTATTCATCACCTTGGCCTTGGCAATCTGCTCCATGTTGGAGACCACGTCATCCAGTTCCAGTCTGAGTTCACTCTTCTCTTTCTCCAGCTTCTGCTTCACTCTCTGAAGGTTGTCAATCTGCTCTCCCAGATCAGCTACACTGTCGGCATGTTTCTTCCTCAGTGTAGCCGCAGTGGCCTCATGTTGCAGAGTGGCCTCTTCAAGGTCTCTGCGTAGTTTTTGGAACTCAGTTTCACGTTTCTTGTTCATCTCACTCTGGGCAGCAGTGGCTCCACCAGCCTCCTCCAGCCTCTCGCTGATCTCCTCCAGTTCTCTGGACAGATCAGCTCTCTGTTTCTCAACTTTGGCACGGGCGGCTCTCTCAGCCTCCAGCTCTT